CTATTTTTTAACTTTTAATTTCTATAGTATGTGTTTGCAGTACATAACAATTACATTCACAGTAATGTGTACTTACCACATCTTAATTCTCTTTTCACTACCTTCTCTCTTTCTCCCAACTCTTGGTTACCTTCACTTTTGCTAAAGCTCTATGTCCCTGTTTCCTATTTTATATCTTTTAGTTTGCTCTTTTATTCATTTCTACTTTGAACTACTCCTATAAGATAAACCATGTGGCATTTAACCTTGTGTGTCTGATTTACTACACCCAATGTTGTGATCTCAAGGTGAATCCTTTTTCTTGCATTCAGTCTTTTAATTATTAACTACAGGCTGAAAATGTTTTACATATGAGGTGTTGTCTACCTTGTTCCCATTTAAGTGGTATTTTTGTTATATTACCACCTATGTTTACAGACAGATTCCTTTCTGATAGCCCTTATTTTTCCATATAACTAAAATCAAAGTTTCAGCTTAGTGTCCACAATAGCAACTATAAAACATAATTTCCGATGTTTAATAAATGACTAAAATTTAACACAAATATTTTAGTGGTTTACTGTGTCTTGTTTTGTTTTGGTACGAGAGATTGAACTCAGGACCTTGCACTTGAAAGGCAGGAACACTGCCACTGAGCTAAATCCCCAATCCCAGTATTTTAGTATTTTACAGTACAGTTTTATTTTAGCTATGGTTTGACTACAAGCAATCAGTGAGTTAGAAAATCACCTTTGAGTTCATTATTTGTTTATAGTCTTCACACTGGATGCTAAGTAGGGAAAATACCTGTTCAATTTTGTCAAACCTTCTTCTGTTGTAATTATGGTTAGAGTCTATATTTGTTTGCCTATTATTGTGATGAATTATGGTAACCAACATCTCATATTAAACAGACTTCCATTCTTACAATTTCTGTTCCTCATTAATCATGTGTTATTCTTTTAAAATGAGCATTATTGGTTTTTATTTAATCCTGCTATTTAGTGTTTTGGGTCTGTATTAAGGCTTGTGATAAGCTAGAACATTTCATATAGTGTTATAGTAGTCATTTTGATCTTGATATTTAAAATATGTCAAACATATGTACTTTTTCAGAATCTACACTGTGACAAGCACAATGTTAAGTCCTCACAAGACAGATGCTGAACAGCAGCTGTTAACAACCTCCAGGTCAGGAGCTGATAGGTAAGCCATACACTCTGTTCCCTCAGTTTAAAGTGCTACATGCTTCCTAATCTCTTGTGATTGACAGTTCAATTCTTCCGATTTCAGAGCAGATGTGCCCACCCACCTTCTCAGACTAAACTGCTCCAAAGTACTTTTTTCTGTTGTATGAATTTAAAAAGACTACGTTTTTATTTAATGATGCTTTTTGTTATGAAGACTACAATTTTTTGGAAGTTTATATTTTGACACAATGTTTATACAATAATTCTATTCAAATAGCTTGTGAATATTTTGAGTCCATCAAAATATATTTTAGCTATTAACTTTGCTGATGTAAGAGTACACTTCCACTCAATAGAATAAACGCACGAGATTACATAAGCATATAAATTTGGTATTTTATTTGTATCGTACTTTTTCCTTATCTCCTTTTTTCTATGTAGTATACATGCTATTTCCTGTAATGGGAGATACTTAGCTGGCAGGCCATATGGGAAAAATAATCTACATTTATAATTTAATAGGGCTTTATGGTAGGTCGAAAGAGGTCAAAAAATCAATTATATTTATAATTATATGAATTCCTTTCAATAGTGACTGTCACAGTTTAAGGAGATATTGCTAAATGAGAGCCATCTAAGATATATTTCCTGAGAGATAAAGAACAAAATTCATATTTATATGATTCCCATGTTAAGGCAGGAACCAAAGGAAAAGCTATTATATTTTATTTCATTTTTCTTTAATCTTAACTTGTGATAAGCATGTCGTATTCCTACTGAAGACAAGATGTGTTTGCAGTTAATATAGCTTAAATTATTTTTCAGCATAGTAAAGATATTATGCTGGTGGACAGGATTGTATTCCAGAATGTCAGACTCAAGAAGCAAGCTTTTAAATCACAGCTCTACAATATAATTTATGAGAATTATATATTTAAAATAATATAATAAAAGGAAAATATAGACACAAATAGATATAATGATAGCTATCATTTACTGAGAATCACAGTGAAAATGAAGGCACATTTTGAAGTTTTACAGTGCAACACTAGTCACAATATTTTTAGAATGAAAATAGTTCAACTGAGAATTAACTGTCCTATCCCAAGGCATTGTCAAAATGTAGACTAAAGTTCTGTTGTAAGAATCACTGTTTAATCACTACTGTAAAGGTAGTACAATAAAGAATTACAGAGATTATTAAAGAAAATAGAGGAAGAGTTTTCAGTTATTTTTGAGAATTGATTTCAAACAAAAAAATTAATCATAGCCATGACTTAGAAATTGAAAATGAAAGAAGTAAGTCAAAAGACAAGAAATATGTGATAAATTAAAGAAAGTGTCAATTAGTCTTCACATTTAAAAATGGAAGTAGCTAGCTTCAGCTGAATGAACCACTGCCATCAAGTGACACAATATGATTGAAAAACATCCATGGAAAGATGACACTGATGGGTTGTAATCACCTGAAGGGCCAATGGTTGTCCATTGAACACTGCTGTTTCTTCCTTCTCCTAAAGATAAAACAGAGACATGCACAAAACAAACCACACGGGACGATCACAATTCCTCTTACTGGGCCTCTCAGAGGATCCAAAAGTTCAGTCCATTCTTTTTGGACTCTTCCTGTCCATGTACTTGGTCACAGTGCTTGGGAATCTACTCATCATCCTGGCAACTACATGTGACTCCCACCTCCACACCCCCATGTACTTCTTCCTCTGTCACCTCTCCTTTGTGGACATTGGCTTCATCTCAACCTCAGTCCCAAAGATGCTGGTGAACATCCAGGCACAGGTCAAAGACATCTCCTACACAGAATGCCTCACTCAGGTATACTTTTTTATAATTTTTGCGGGAATGGATAATTTCCTACTGACTCTGATGGCCTATGACCGCTTTGTAGCAATCTGCCACCCTCTGAAATACACACTCATCATGAATGCTCAGCTCTGTGGCCTCCTGGTTCTGATATCCTGGCTTATAATCCTATGTGCCTCCCTGACTCATATTCTCCTGATGATGAAGCTCAACTTCTCTAGCCACACTGAAATTCCTCATTTCTTTTGTGAACTGCCTCAGGTCCTCAAGGTGGCCAACTCTGAAACCCTCATCAACAACATCTTTCTATATGTGGCAGTTGTCCTAACGGCTGTGTTTCCTGTCTGTGGGATACTCTTTTCTTACTTTCAGATTGTGTCTTCTTTAATGAGAATGTCCTACACTGCCAATAGGTATAAAGCATTCTCTACCTGTTTGTCTCATCTCTGTGTGGTCTCCTTGTTCTATGGAACAGGACTTGGGGTCTACTTCAGTTCTGAAGTGATCCAGTCTTCTCAGGGAAAACCTGTGGCCTCTGTGATGTACACCGTGGTGACCCCCATGCTGAATCCTTTCATCTACTGTCTGAGGAACAAGGATGTTATGGGGGCCCTGGAAAGACTCCTCAGCAGAACAGCCTGTTGTCTTTCATGGACCCCTGACTTCAGAACTAAGAGGATCTTACAGCCTTTAAGACAAAAGCTGTGAATTTCAATAGGCTTAGTCTTTCCCCCTCCTAAATCATATGCTTAATTTCTGATATTTCCAAAGCATCTATGTTTTATCTTTTCAATATTTTTGGGTTTGTTTTTCTTTATCAACTTCCTCAGTATTTTCCTTGTATTTGTAATTTTATGCATGAAACACAAACTTTCCTATTTAGTAAGATATCTTAGACATTTTTAAGATTTTGAACACGATGGAAACATATCAAATGAAGATAATTTTTTCAAAAATATTTACTTGAATGTTGATGATTTTCACCATAATATGGTTGTAATCATGCTTTTCCCAAAGGAAATATGCATAATCAAAATACTTATCACATCAGGCTAAACTTGTCATTTTCATTTATATTGATACAATGCCTAGAGTAGCTATGAGCTACTGTGATTTTTGGGAGCCTTACTTTATTCTAATGTGGATTGCTTTCTTTATCTTTTTCGTTATGTCATTTCCTTCATTTTCCTACCTTGCTTGCTTTCTTCTTTGTATTCTGCCCACTTTTTTTCTCCTTGCCATTCCCTGCTTTCTCTTCCTCCCTTATTTGGACACTTTCATTGGGTAACGTAAACTTCCTCCATTTCCTTTGTAATGTTGAATAATGCTCTGTTGTGTAAACAAACATACACTCATAGATGATTCTGAAGATTTACATGTTTCACTGTTATGAATAAACTGTAATAAATATGCATGCACATTCATCTTTATCAGTATAGTCATATGCAGTAGAATTTTGCTTTAGACAATGACAAAATATACCTGCTCTGATGATCCCATAACATTATATTTGTTAGTAAAGTCATGAATAACAAATAATGCAAGAGTACCAGGAAGAATGGATTTCTCCAAAGTAAAAAGTATTTTTTAAGATTTATAAATATCCATTATGGATGCATCTCCTGTGCATATGTCAGTTAAAAATATCAGTGTGCTCAGTATTGGTTTGACTCCTTTTTCCCAGCTGCATTTTTATTTCAAAGGGTGTCAAAAATGTAGACCTACAAAGTGTAATACCTGTCTCAGAGTATACCTCGTGAATCTCTCAGGGAATACATAACTGCTCTTCGTGCCAAGTGCCTGGTCACAGTGCTTTGGAAATCTGCTTATCATCCTGGAGAAAACCTTTGGCTCCCTTCACCATATCCCCATATACTTCTTTCTCTTTGTTCTGTCCATTACTGACATGTTTCATCCCACCCTGGCCACACAGATATGTAACCTTACAACAGAATCATCTCCTAGGTGTACTTTCGTATGCAAAGGAATATTTTATAATATTTGAATGCATAGATGATATGCTTATTATTATGATAGATCTAACTGGTGTGTCTTACTTTCTTCATCACCAAGACAATATCCAACAACAACAGCTCACAGGAGGAGAAGTCTATTTGGGCTCAGGAGTATTAGAGGTTTCAGTCTATAATTACTAGCTTCAAGGCAGAAACAGCACAGTGGAAAAATCCTGGCGGAGGAAAGTTGCTCATATTTTGGTGGCTAGGAAGCAAAGAGAAAGCTGGAGCTGGGGAGGGAAATGTGCCTTCTATGTCATCCCTGCAGTTATGTTCAACTTCCATCCCATCTCCCAACATCTAAAAGTATAGCACTGCCATGATCCAACCGCCTTCCAAATGCCCCATCCCTGAGTGCACAAGAGTTTTGTGAGGTCTTCATTGATCTAAATAATAACAACTAGTTTATGGTCTTTGGTCACTTCCCACGTCACCCACTTGTGGGGACCACTGGTGATTGACATTGTAGGAGCCTGACTGAACCAGAGCGACTCCATGTTGACCAGCAAATGACCTAGAGACTGTCACTCCCCCCATCCCTTATAGGATAACTAATGATTAATTGTGAATTGCTAGGTGGCTGTTTGGGAGTAGCTGGGAAACTAGGTGGAAACTGTAGTAAACACAGAGACCCAAGGTAGGTCACGCCACTCCTTGCATGCCTGTAGTCTGAATGTTCTGAACTTTATGATGATCTAGGCTGTAAACGGAACAATGGATAATCACTCTGCTAATCATTAGTACGTGATGACCACTAGCTCAGATCAACTGATTTTTTGCCTTTGTCCTCTTCCTGTAAGTTTTAAGTGTAAATCCCCCTTCAGCCCTATATAAAATGGCCTCTGTTTCTGAGCTAGGCGCCTCTCTGAGCTACTTGGCTTGGGGAGTGCCGTCTGGCCAGACTAATAAAGGTCTATTTGCCAACTTGCCTGGTGTGTTCCTTCCTGGGTGACTCTCGCTGTCTGATAAGCTCCTGGAGCCTCTCTGAGCTTCTGAGCCCAGCATTGTGGAAGCCTCTTGGCTGTTCACGCTCCAGGAATAAAAGTGAGACTTCAGTTTTACAACGTTTGAAAAATCACTTATTCCTCTACAATTAAGGCATTGATACAATCTATGTAACATTTGTTCCTTTTCAAGGACACTGTTTGTTAATGTTGTTTGTTCTTTGACCCTTTGATAAGAGGAATTTAAAGAGATAGCCAAAAATCTGATGTTATCCATAAGAGTCAGGAAATCTGGTCTTTGCATAAGATAAAAATAATTGCTTGGTGCTTCCTGTTGATGTGCCTTTAAAAAGAGCTGTTTATGTAAAATAAATTAGACTTCTCTTGGTCTCACTCAGGCTTGTATATTCTTTCCTTTCTCAATCCTCACTCCCCAATTCAGGCTATTTTGTGTTGTGATGGCTGGACTGCCACACCGAGTGTTTATGAGCGCTCACCTCTGTATCTTCACATATTTGGTATACTTTTTGGTTAAATCTTTGGACCCCCAACTTTAAAATGTTATTGGCTTACAATTCACATGCTGCAAGGATGTAGACATTTTCAATTTCTTCTTTGAGCTTCTAAAGTCATTGATCTGACCTTTCTGACACTTTAGATCACAGATTTTACTCACATCATAGGTGTTTCCCATATAAGGATGGATTTATAACACTATCAAACTATTTCATCCATTCCAAATATTCCATCCTCAGATGGGGAGTATAAAGTTTTCTTCACCTGTGGATCTGTATCAGTTGTTTGCTTATTTTGTGGAACAGGCCTTAGCGTGTCTATTTTAAGATACATCATGCTCCCCTATGAACTGTTTGTTAAGCCCATAATTTATACCATGCTCACCATTATTCTGAATCCATTCCTCTTCATTCAAATGAATAAAGGCATCAGAAGGACACACAGAATAACAGTATAACTTCAGGACCTATGGTATCCATTTGGAATGAAGGTTGGAGGACTAGGAGAGCCATTGTCTTGCATCAGGAAAGAAAGTATGAATTAGGATTGTAATATGGGTAGATACTAAAGTGCAAATTTTTCTGATGTGAGTTATGTGTATTTGGTCAAACATACATTCCTGAAAATCTAGCCTCCTTTGTGATGTTATTTTTGTCACGATATATTTGATTCCTTAATCTATCTTACAGTAGAGTGATTGTTGCCATGGCAGGGTGAGGAAGGACTGGGAACTTTCAGTTTTGAAAGATAAAAACTTATGAAAATAAATGATAGTGATGATTGTCTAAAATGTAAATGTAATTATTGCTTTGGAAATATGCAAGAAACAGTTCAAATGGCATTTCTTGTTATCTACATTTTAGTACAACAAATAGTGGCCTTAAATGCATGGATCTAGGAACAAAAAGGAATACAAGTGAATACCGCATGTGAGCTCTTAATTGAGTAGCTGAACCCCAAACCCACTGTAGACAATCACCTTCTTTTCAATTTCTTCCTCCACTGTTATGAGGTAGTCATTTGGGATTGGTTAAAACAAACCAAATTCAATAGTTAGAAATGCTACAAATTAAGTGTTTGTGGCAGCCCAGCCATCACAACACGAACATACCTGAGTTGGGGAGTGAGGATTGAGAAAGGACAGAACACTCAATAGTGTGGAGAGAAGAGGTCCCATTTATTTCACAGAAACAGCTCTTTATTAAAAGGCCCGCCAACAGGAAGCATCAAGCAACTATATAGGGAGATCAGATCTTTGGCTATCCCGAGTTCCTCCCATCACAAGGTCAAATTTAACAAAGTCCTTGAGCTGGGCATGGGGGTGCATGCCCATAATCCCATAAAACCAGCCTGGATTATACAGTGAGTTCCAGGTCAATGCCCATAATCCCATCTGCACTGCTGAGACCCTTGTCTCAGAAATGTCAAATAAACAAACAGATAGAGTAATGAATTAAGAAGTTACTTTTCCAATGTCAAATGCCAGCGGGCTCCCACAGTATTTAAAGTCCTATGAGAGTAAATATCTAGGCCTTGTCTTTTACTCTTTAGCTCGGTGTTTCCAGGCAACTGGATTCTACCTATGTCTCTTCCTCCTCCAGTTTTCTAGATCTGGAACATCCCATCTGACCCTATATTCCTATCAGTTCTTGGAAAGGGGGCATATCTGTAGTTTTTACCATTCATGAAAGCAACATAGAAACCACTTTTCTTCATCATGTTCAGAAAAGCAGCAAAATCCTTTGAGCCAAGGGGAACTGATGGATGAAGAATGCATGATTAGAAACGTTTCCTATCATGAGAAAAACATGAAAGTTTGGGTAGAAAAAAGGGAAGGATGACCGTGTGCAAAGGTGTATGTATGAGTTCTGTGAATATTTTATATTTGGTTGTAGTGAGCATCCAAAGAATGTCATTCAAAATTTTACTTCACTTCTGCACTGGTTCTGACTCCCTTTAACATTTCATGGATGACAGCAGAATGTGGGTCACTGTGATCTCTTTCCTAACTAAGCATTACAAAGGTATCCAAAGATGATGATGATGCGGTGGACAGTAATAGTAACCATAGCATTTTGAACCAACAGTGAGTCACCAAAAATGCAATCATCTGAGATACACATTCCATGATATTTGTTTTATTTCGCTGGTTTAATGTTTACCGAGTATAAAGTCCTGTATTATTATTTTACAGCGAAGCAGGAATCACCACCTATTTATGGAACTACTTCCA